TCACGGAAGGGATTAGTCATATTTCATGTAAATGAGTCACTGGCTCCTGAGAGGAGCCGCTGGGCTCTGTCAGGTGGGGGCGGCTGTGGGGGCTAGCGGAGCACACACCATGTGAGGGGCTGGAGGGTGCACGCACAGAGCTGCCCATCGCTAGCCAGCCCGATCCCGGAGCGCCAGGCAGGATGGCAGGGAGATGCCCACGAGCAGAGGGGTAAAAATACCCAGCTGCTCTAGGAGGTTGGGCAGAGCCCTCCAGCTGGGCCGTTGTGACATCACTGGGAGTGGCCTTCTGATGTCACACCAGCCTGTGACATCACAGTGCCTCTGGCCAGCATGCTCTGGCAGGAGCCTGGGGGTTTGGGGATGGGGCATGAGCCAGCAAGCGGAGGTGGGTCCCTTTGGGGCACCCAGGGTTGAAGGGCTGGACACGGAGGGTCTGGTCCCTTGGGCAGGCATTGGCACGTGGCGCCTGTGGAAAGAGCCGGGGATAGTGTGTCAAGCAGCCGGTGGGCGCGGGGCTGAGATCACTATCTGCGCCCAGCGGGAGGATGCAGCCTGGGGGAACAGGGGGGCAGCTAACGGGCCCCCTCCCCCCATATGCTCAGCAAGGGCTTCCCACGATAAATACAGCCACCACAGGGGGGCGGGGGGGCTGGCACTGCATAGCCCTGGGGACGCGTCTTCCCCATAGTAGATCCCAGGGGCAGCAGCGTGGAGCCACCCCCTAGTCTGGAAGGGCCCCACCACGAGGCACTAGAGGATACTAGCTCCGGTGAGTCCATCCGCGTTCAGAAGGGAATGGGTTTGGGGGGGCTATTGATCCGTTCTGGTTCCAAACTGGCAATGCCTAGAGGGGAGAGCCCCCATTCCCCCCCCCCCAGCCAGCCAGTCCCCTGCCATGGGGCTGGCACAGAGCTGGCACCCCTAGAGGGGAAAGGCCCCGTGTCCCACTGAATCTCCCTCACCACCCCCAAGCCAGTCTTGCTTAGAACCAAATCTTCTTTCCTGTAGGGTGGTGAGGCCCCTGACTCTGTTAATCGCCTGGGGGGTAGTGGAGGGGGGCTAGTATTAACCCTCGGCTTGCCATGCGGCTGGTCTGGTCGCTTGCTGAGCCCTGGAGCCCAGCTGGGCTGTGGGACTGGATGTCCCGTGTTCTCTCCCCGGTAGCCCGGCGCTCTATCTGCAGTGGGTGGCAGGAGGTGGCTGAAATTCCCCGCTGGTGGCGCCAGCTGGGGGTCTCCAGGGCTGGTCATTCCTGAACCAGTACATGATGGGTCTGCCACGGCGGGGGGCGGGGGGGGGGGAGGAATGCATGTGGGGCACAGGGACTTGTCAGGCTCAGCAGCGAGACAGGCGAGTGCTAACACCCTGTGCCAGCCCCCCCAGGGTGTCCCTCAAGGGGTCACCGCTCTGTGCAGCCACGCTGAGCTGTAAAAGGGACGTGGGTCGGGAGGGAGGGAGGGAAACTGGCCTGATGCAAGGGTGAGGGCCAGATGCTGTGCCCCTGAGTCACAGCTGTAGCCTCCCCCAGGGCTTGCCGGGGGGGGTGGGGGGTGGGGGGGACGACGACGACGACACCCTGGCCTTGGGTGAGTCATGCTCAAAGGGCTGCGGGGGAGAGAATAGCTGTGCTCTCGGGATGGCTAGACTGGTCCCCCAGAGCAGGACCGGCCGGTGTGCCCAACCTGGCTCTAACAGGGCCCTGGGAGGGGATGGGGCATCTGGGCTCTGTGGCCTGGCTGTTTCTGGCACTGGTAACGAGTGTGCCCGTCCCGCTTGCTACCGGGCCAACCCCGGCTCCTTTCACCACAACTGGACATGCTTTGTTCCAGAGCAGGGCAGCCTGTGTGCGTCCCTCACTGCTGGTTGGTCTGTCTGTCCTGTCCGGAGGCCCTGGCCCCGCCCTGCACCGCGTTTGCCATCTGCCCTGGGGCCAAGCGGGCACAGACGCTGCTGTTGGGATTCCGGGATGTTCACAGCTGCTGTGGGGGGGGGACGGGGGACGCTGGGCCCCCAGTGCCGGGCAGGAGAGCCAGGCTGCTCAGTTCCTTCCCACCGTCCGTGTGGGCAGAGACGCTGCCTCTGTGCGCTGTGCCCGGGTGTCACCCGCTCCCTCTGACCCATCCCTCCTGTTCGCCGCCATCCCGCCCCGCCTGGGCTGTGTCCCCAGGGGCAAAGGGGGGGTCTGCCAGGCCGTGGTAGGGCCGGCTGGGGGCAACTCCTAGCGTTCCAGTCGGGGCAGGCCCTGTCCAGACAAAAGAGGGGAGGGCGGCTTGGGGGCAGGGGGCCTTACGGAAGGGAAGATCCCTGGGTTGATGGAGGGGGGTGGTCCCAGCGCAGGGGGCAGAAGGAGACGACAGGATCAGGAGGAGGAGGGGAGATTGCACGGGGCCCTGGATTTGGCAGTGTCTCAGCCAGCCCCATGGAGCGGGGCCCCCCAGCCCCTTTGCAGGCCCCTTCCCCAGCACGGCCATGGAGGTGCAGAAAGCAGCCGCCTCCCTTTCAAATTGAAACCATTTGTGGCCGAGCAGCGAGGGGCCGAGCCGGAAAGCCAGCGCATTCCTTGGCTTTAATAGCTCCCCTCGGACGGACGCGAGCTGCGGGGCCCGTGTGCCCCCTGCACACAGCACACCCACGCGGGCCTGCCCCACAGCCCAGCCCAGGCCTGCAGCGCCCTGCCCCACAGGTGGCCTGACTCTGACTCCCCGGGCAGGGGTGGGGGCTCTGCCGAGGGGGGGGAAGCAGCTCTGGCTGGGTTCTCCACCTATTTCTGTCTCTCTTGTACTGAGATGTGTCCTGGCTGGACGGTCGGGGGGCAAGGAGGCGCTCGCTCACTGGCTCCTGGGTGGCTGTGCCCTGGCCAGTGGGCCCCAGCGTGCTGGGCCCCATAGCATCCATGGACTGCGCTGACCCATTGCAGACTAGCGAGGTGCAGGCCAGGTTTGGCCTGGGGGGGGGGGTGCTTAGTCTGGAGCTCCCTTGGTCTCTACTAAGGGCGTCCACTCCTGGTGCATGGTGGGGGCAGGTGGGGGGGATCTTGGAGCAGAAAGCAGCTGCAGGGAGCCCCCCACCTGCTCCCTGGAGAGGTGCACTCGCCCTCCTGCTGGGAGGGAGCTGCGCTGGCAGAGCGGCTGCGGGTCGGGACCGAGGGGCATTGGCAGGGAGCTGAGGCCTGGGCACATCCCCCCTGCTCTGGTCGGTGCTGGGTGGGGACCCCCTGGGCCAGCTCCACCCAGCCCTGAGGGATGGTTCGTTCCCCAGTCCTGATGCCTCGCTAATTAGTGCCGTTAATTTCATCCAATTAGCTGCACGTTGGCCATGAGCGCGGCCCCAGCTGCCTTGACTGTCAGCCGTGCCGGGGCCAGCGCCCCTGGTGCCACCTGTAATGAGGGCAGTCGGGGGAGCTGACCTGGGGCAGGGGCCGTAATTGGCACACAGGGACTGTGGTGACCGGAGCCGAGGGGTAATCTGCAGCTGCGGTAACGAGCGGGCGCCGGGCTGAGCCTAATTGAGTTTGTTTGCTGGTGGCGGCCCTGAGCCTCACCGAGTGCCTGGGGGCAGCGGGCTGGGAGGAGGGATGTTCCCCGAGGGTTTGGCACCTTGGCTGGGTGCGACAGGCTCCTAGGCCGGCTGTGCTATGGGCAGGGGCACATTCCCAGCCCTCTGTTCCTGGTGGGGAGCAAGGGCCCACCGCCTCCGAGCTGCTGGGGGCAGGGCTGAGGCCAAACACCCGGCTCCTCCCTGCTTTGTGGGGCCACAGGGCCTGGCCTGAGCGTTGTTGCCCCAAGGAAGCCGAGCTCCCCCCCCGTCCCCAGGAGGGGGTGCTGCCCTCGGGCATGGCTGGCACCGGCTGTATCCACACGGGTTATCATCTTTGGCCAAGACAGGCAGCACTGTCAGGTGTCAAGAGCTCCTGTATCCTAGGAGAGAGGCATTGGCTCCAGGGTCCTGGTCACCCTGGCGCTCTGTGCCACCCCCATGCCCAGCCCACACATTGACAGCTCCCAGCCCTTCCCTGGCACACCGCGTCATTCATTTACCTGGCTGACAGCCCGGCTGTTCAAAAACAAGCCATCCCGCCGAGGGGCCAGGCCTGTGGCCACCCTGCTGACGGCCAAGCACATCTGCCTCCTGTCTGGCCTGACAGTCCCTTGCCCCCAGCAGGGTGAATTCCCTCCCTGCCGGGAGCAGAACCCCTCTGGGGTGAGGGATGGACCCATGGCAGGGGCAGGAGATTTGCCTCCAGCTCCCCACAGAGGGCCCCAAGCCAGGGCAGAGCACACGTCTCTCAGCAGCGTCTGTGGGCATTGGCCCAGAGCTCACGCTCATGGACAGGGGAGGTACCAGGAGGGGCAGTGACCCACCCAGGGTCAGTGGCAGGAATAGAACCCAGGAGTCCTGGCTCCCTGGACTGGGCCATCCAACTAGGCCAGGTTGCCACCTCAGCCCTGTGGGAGGTTTCTGTCACTGGCCAGCCAGCTGTGGGGGTCTGGCTAGGCAGCGAGGGGGGGAGAGCTGGGGGAGCGCAGGGCATGTTCAGCAGCACAGCCTCCGGGGGGTAACTGAGGGAGCATGTGTGGGGAGGCTCCCCCCAAACCCCAAATTCAGCCGCTGCCCTATAAGAACCAGCCCAAACCAGCGCCAGGGAGTGGGGGAGGGGCTCAGCACAGCCATGGGGAGTGGGGGGGCACGTGGGGGGTGCTGAGGGAGGGGCATGCATGGGGTATTGGAGGGGCCCCCAATACTCAATACAGGCTGTCCCACCTGGAGAGGCCTCTCCCTGCCAGGGCTTCTGACCCCTCACTGCAGCTACCTGGAGGCTGCCCCCCTTCCTGGGCTGGGAGCGGGGCTGGGCAGTGGGGGGCGCAGCATGTTCCCAGGGGGACGCAGGGCAGGGTGGGGGGGGCGGGCTGACTCCCATCGTCCCAGACTCCCCTCCCCGACCTTGGACAGCATGTGACGCCTCGGGATGACCTTTGCCTTTTGCCCTTTCTCCGCAGAGTGCCGCGGCTGCCCCCAGCCCCGTGATGGGGAACATGCCCCCGAACGACGGCATGCCAGGAGGACCCATGCCACCCGGTTTCTTTCAGGTACCCTGCCCCACTGCGCGGCCGGCTGGGGGCCCCATTCCATGCAGATTGCGTGGCGCGCTGTGGGGCATCGCGGCCTCGTGGTGCGCCGTGGGAAGCAGCAAACGCCCAGGGGACAAGGTGCCCGGGGGTGGGGGGTCCCCACAGGAATTCCCCGTGGAGGAAGAGGGCAGCCCCAGTCCTTTCCCTTGGGGTCATGTAACTCCTGGGAGCCCGCGCCCTGCTCTCTGAGTCCCAGCCGGTCCTCCACAGCTCTGCCCTGCCAAGGGGGACCCCATGGGCTCCTTGCCAGCTCTGCCCTGGCCTTGCTGCTGGGGACTCTGCTGGGTCGCTGCAGTGCTGGGGCATAGCTGGCACCACTGTCCCTCCCCCGGGCACCTCCAGCCGTGCCAAGGCCTGCTGCCAGCCAAGGGCTGTCCCAGTGCCCAAAGCAAGCGCCAGAGTCTACTGCTCCCGAGGGCTGCCTGTTCCCACGGGGGCCCTGCTGTGTTGCGGGGGTGAGAGGAGAGTCGAAAGCAGCCCCCCCCCCCGCCCCCGTCATGTCCTAAGCCTGGCTGCTGGGCCTCTAGTCGGGAGCTGCCTGGCCACCCAGAGGGGTGTGAACTGGTGCTGAGGGACGAGGGCCATGCTGCTCTGTGGCCAGCGCCCCCCCGTGCGTAGGAACGGGCTGCTCCTGCAGTGGAGAGAACATGGCCTGTGCACCTGGCAATCAGAGCTGTGTGTCCAGCTGCACCGCCAAGGGGGCCCAGGCCAAGGTGCTGAATGTGGGGCTGGCACGTGCTATGGGCACTGTCAGGACACAGGGTCGGCTTCAGGCTCACCCGCCCCCTGGGAGTGGAGGACGGGCAGGTTCTGGCCAGGCTGGTGGAGCTGCTAGAGACATGGAGGGCAGAGGAGGTGGAGCCGGGGAGGGGAGCTGATGCCGTGGGCATGGAGGAAGATGCAGCTGGGGGGTGCACAGGGTCGGTGTGTGCACGGGGAGGGTGCCTGGGATGTGTGCAGGAGTGTGTGTGCGTGGGAAGGGTGTGTGTTCAGGAGTGCGTGTGCACCGGGGGGGTGCACAGGGAGGGTGCCTGGTGTGTGTGT